CGTGAAATAGTTGTGGGTGAGGACAAAGTCACAAAGTTCAGCCACCAGGTTAGCTGAGACATTATCGGGGATACTAAAAATCTGCAGAGCCTAAGTTTTACAAACATGTACATTTTATTTTTACTCCTGATGGGCTAGTTCCTCCTTTTCTGTGGGCTGTACAAAAGAAAAGTACTTTTATTTAGAATGCGGTTCTACTCTTAAAAAATGATTATGCAAAAATTATTATCTGTGTTGTTGTTATTATGATGATGACCTTACTTACCACAGCTGCTCCCTGTATGTATTGAGAATAATAACTAATTATTTTTCTGACCAAAGAAGTGTGTACTGCTTTTTATTCCTGCAAAGCCAGCACCACTATGGAAGAGCGAGCTTGGATTCTGTTGTGATTCATGCATTTGCAATAGAAATCATAACCAATCATTTTCAAACTTGGGTGCCGAAGTCATTGCCTACGTTCTAACTGAAAAGACAAATTCTGCCCTCATTTACACTTTACATAGTCTTCAGTGGAGATGCACATGTGTAACTGAGGGTAGATTTTGGCCTGAATAAACCTTATGACAAATGACACATGAGCCAGAAAATGCCTCCTCCCCCCTACCCCATCTATCAGATTCAAAGTTGCATTTTGAGGGCTGGCAGTTAGAAAAATCATTTAATTATTAGAAAACGGAGATAAATTGATGAAGATGTTAATCGGCAAGAAAAGAAACATGGCGCCTCAGGATGCCATTTTTGAAGAGTAATAATATAGCAAAAGTCAGCTTTTCAGTGTGTAAGCTCCTTCTTAAAGAGAAGGATATGCTTAATATCTTAATTGCTTGCTAGTTTAGCAAACTTGTTTTTCATTTGGAATTATCTGTAATGGCTTTAGCTCTTTTTTGGAAGATTTTTTCCCCATCTTGTATATAACTTATCGGTACTTTATTTCATACATAATTTTTTTTGCCACAATTCACATAAGCTGTTTCAGTTGGTATGATATTCTTTAGTTCCAGTCCTAAAATTTTTGTGTAGTATTACTGTTAACCTGTGGTTCTCAACCAGGACACACATACCCCTGGGGTTACACAGAGGTCTTCCAGGGGGTACATCAACTTATCTAGATATTTGCCCAGTTTTACAACAGGCTACATAAAAAGCACTAGTGAAGTCAGTACAAACTAAAATGTCATGCAGACAATGACTTGTTTATACTCTTCTATATACTATACACTGAAATGTAAATATAATATTTATATTCCAATTGATTTATTTTATAATTCTATGGTAAAAATGAGAAAGTCAGCAATTTTTCAGTAATCGTGTGCTGCGATATTTTTGTATTTTTATGTGTGATTTTGTAAGCAAGTAGTTTTGAAGTGAGGTGAAATTTGGGAGTAAGCAAGACAAATTAGACTCCTAAAAGGGGTACAGTGATACGGAAAGGTTGAGAGCCACTGCTGTAAGCTATTAAACAGGTGTCAATAGTCCACTTGTAGGATGACAGCATTTCTGTGGTTTGTATATCGTTTCTTTGTGTATTGTTTCTGAGGAACTTTGAAATAATTTAGGATAAAATGTAAGTTGGTAATATTATATTACAAAATACTTTTTTTGCTTTGTACCTATTGCTTAGTACAGCTGCATCAATTATGTGTTTAAGTTCATAAATTAAAACAAAAGACAGTATTGTGCCAAGTACTACAATGATAACTGAAAATATTTGAATAATAAGTATTGAACAAGAGAAATAAATAGGTGGTAACACTGTATAACTTTCCCCTTTAGTCCCAGGGCAACCGCTGAACTTCAAAGCAGAACCTGAATCTGAAACAAGCATATTACTTTCTTGGACCCCTCCCCGCTCTGACACCATTTCCAGCTATGAACTGGTTTACAAAGATGGGGACCAGGGTGAAGAGGTAAATGAAAATTTACTCACCTTTTGTATTTCTTTAATGGAATAAGACATGAAAGGCTGCAATGATTGAGAAGTACAAGCTTAGCTGCTTTCCTAGTATATGAGAATGTTGACATGATATGGTTTGTTAAACAGAGCAACCAGCTTGATGGCAGATTCTGAGCACGGTTACCAGCAAGGCTCTGTGGCTACTGGCCAAGGGAAGCTTTACGGGTGTTCATGGAAAGGCAGGCATGGAGGTTGTTCCCAGTTCCAAAGGGGTAATGCTAGTTCAGGCTGTCCAACCCTTTACAGCCTCCAGGGCATGGAGTTCACAGACTTTGCCCAGCTCTTAGGAATGACCCATAGGAAGAAATCCCAGCCCCACTGCAGTCAATGGGCCAGGATTTCACCCATAATGAATAGTTGTTTCTGTTAGTCAATAAATGAGACTCTTTTAAAACATGGTAATTGGTATTTTTCAGTGAAGAAAATACATTTTTCTAATCACAAGATACCTATTTTAGATGATGTTGTTTGCTCTTTATAAACAATTAGCATTTTAAATGTTTCTTTGGCTGCACTAAGTCAATCTTTTTCAAAAAACAAGTCTCTTCTTATTTTTTCTGTTCCATTTTATAAAGTTGATTTCCAGTGCAAAGAATGAGAGTGGTAGGCTCAGGAGACAGCGGGAGCGTGCTAGATATGTCAGTGTCCTCCTGCGTCACTATCTTATTGCTCTTTTGGGAATACAGCAAAAGCTGGTTACTGCTACTTCACTGAGTTTAGGTTTATAGAAGTTCTTTACGTGTACTGAAGACATGTAAGCACATGCTCAGCAGCTAAAAAAGACTGCTAAGAGGAGAGTTCCCAGATCTATCTTTTAATTCCATATGAAATATATGCCCCTACCTAAACTTGTACTATGTCCTGATCATAGGTCCTTGATAATATTTATACCTTTAGAAGAATTTGCGTCTTAAGATTTTGAATGCAAATCTAACAATAGGCTAGCCTTAACTCCAAGATCACTCATCCCATAAAAGTCCAATTTCACTGGAGCGATAAGTATATGTAGATAAGTAGATGAGGCTCTAGTCATCTGTCTGTGTCCAAATATTCTTTTAAATTTTGAACATAATTATTTAATCCCTTTTAAACTATCAAACAGAATTTCTCCCTAGCCCAGCTTGATACATTGAACTGCTTATTTTAAAATTCCATTCTTCATTATTTATTTATTGTAGGTAATAGATTCACTTTCCTTTCATTGTTTGGCTAAGATTACTTTGTTTAAAATGCTACGTTCACATTTTTAAAAGAAGTTTTAAACAAATTAATCCGATTGATGCTGTTGTTATCAGTGTCTCAGGGGGGCTTTTCTCCTTAGACAACATTCTGAATAAGTATCTTTGGATATTTATCAATACGTCCAGTTCTCTTATTGCTTATCTTTAGCAACGTGTTTCTATTGAGCCAACTACATCTTACCGCCTGCAAAGCCTGAAGCCAAACAGCTTGTACTACTTCCGTCTGGCTGCCCGCTCTCCACAAGGCCTGGGTGCTTCAACTGCAGAAATCTCAGCGAGAACCATGCAGTCAAGTAGGTGTCTCTCCTTGCTTGCTTTATTCTGCTCCTTGTATCTGCTGAGCAGACACAGCCAGATAAGCCAGTAAGACAGCAATAGAGAGCAAGAGTCTCAGTAACACAACAGCAGGACAGTGCTTAAGATAAATATTTATAATAGATAGGCTTAGAAGAATTGCTTTTGTATTATTATTGGCTTTTGCATAGCCTTAGGAGAAGAAGCAGAACATCTTCAGAATGTCTGAAGAGACAGCCCTATGATGATATCAGTATAGCTTCTAGGTGCACCACTAGGCATACTAATGATCTTCCATGCATGGCATGCCTCCGATATAGTCTGGAGCCTTAAAATTCCTGCCTGGTCATTTCCTGCTCCACAGTGTGAATTCCATAAAATTTATTTCCTTTTATCCAGATATGCTCTTCCTGCAGAAAATGTACATTTGAAGGTTCCAGGACTGTATGCACTAACAGGCATGCTGATAACTATGGTTATTCTTTCTAAGTTTTGCCTAATGTTTTTTTGACCAATCTTTGGAAGGTGGGCACTTTAGTATTGTAGGTCATTTTGATACACACAAGAAAACTATATTCTATTGGCTGTTTATGTAAATAATGTGAGTAATTTATAGGGCTTATCTGAAATAATCTGATGGGAATTCATATAGGAATTTAAAAACATGTAAATTGAAACTTAACTAAAGGGATTTTCTTCAGGTAATGGAGAATTGCATCCCAAAGATAGTTGATATAATCAGCTAAAGTTTACTTTGTGTAATTCTTTAGCTTTACTGCTCCATTTTCAAACTTTATTCCATCATGTCTTTACATTTTCTATAGGCTGATTGGTTCATTACTTTTAGTGAAGTAAGGTTATTTAAACGAATACTGCAAAGCCTCATTGAAATTCTGGTTTGCGTCAGTCAGCTTGAGCTATTGTATTTATACTGTCACGCTTTGCTAGTGTTTGATGAGATATTAGTAACAATTAAGGTACCTGAAGAACTGTTGCTTTAGAGTTTGAGTTTTATGAGTAATGTGAACTTCCTGAGGCATGTCTGTGGCATTTTAAATAAACACAAAGGACCCAATTATGCTGTCATAAGAATCAAGTATAATGGCGTGGGGCACTGTCATTTTAATTATGCAAAATCGGTATTTTGATATAGAAGAAAATTATTTCCTTTCATGGGGACCATTTTAGTTACACATGAGAGCATGAGCATCATAAAAGGTGGGTGGGAATTGATTTAAGTGTGGCTACAAGTTAAATATTTAAGGCCCAATCCTGTACTCTGTGCACAGTCAAAATTGCCATTGATTTCCATTTCCTGGTTATGTAAGAAAAAAGTAAATGGGACAGGGCCAGTAAGATGACATTACACTGTGTGTAGCCTTCTTTTTATTTTACATACTGAGATAATACGTGAAAAAGTGCAAAGGTTATATATGAAAAGAAAGTACCCAGTAGTCAGACTTTGGCAAGAGATCCCATTGAAATCAATGGCAAACTTCCAATTTATGCCCATGGTTTATTATAAGACCTAATAGATTTGCTTACTAGATTGCACATGGTGTAAAAATCACCTTGCAAAGTAAAGGAGAAACTGCATTGTAAAAAAACAATTACACAAGATAGAATGGTTTGCATTTATTTTAATATAATGATTTTAAAAAATTAGGATTCTGGTGGCACCTTAACAGATTTATTTGGGCATAAGCTTCTGTGGGTTAAAAAAACCACTTCTTTGGATGCATGGAAGAAGTGCATGCTTCTGCATTCATCTGTAGAAGTGTTTTTTTTAGCCCGAAAGATTATGCCCAAATAAATGTTAGTCTCTAAGGTGCCACCAGACTCCTCGTTTTTGTGGATACAGACTAACACGGCTACCCCTGAGATACTTAAAATATTAGAAATCTCTCATAGATTCAGCAGAAATATTCTCCAGAGTTTTTTGTAACCTTCAGTCATGGCTTCAGAGAAAGCTGCTACAGGGATATCTGTCTGTCAGTATGATATCCCGAAGGAGTCTTTTCACTTCCTTTTATACTTCCTGCACAGATTCATGCTCTGTAGCGTAATGTCCAGTATATCCTGTGTACTTGATTTCTGCCTTGATCATTGACATTTTTTTAAAGAAAAAAGCTAATCTACCCCTTCAGCTCCTCCAGATGCTGGTACATTCTCACTTATTTTCCCCCGAGAAGGGTAAAATACCACACTGAGGAACATCCATTGATCCACATAGAAGATCTGTGAGGAACCAAAAGATACATGTGTAACTGCAGTAGGTCACAGCAGGGCCCTATAACTCTTCAGCTGCTTTAATTATCTTTGATGTGCCAAGAAGTAGTACACAATAATCCATTTGTTTTTCCTTTAAGGATATGGGGGAGAGACTAGATCACACACAATGGGCAAGCACTTTAGCTGTCTTCTTAATACAAGCTATATTTGATATAAATGATGCGTGCTCATGTGAAGTAAGATACAGTATAAATTCAGAGCTTTGTATCTTTGTGCTTTGTTTTGCTAGGGAAGTCTTTTAGTAAGATTTAATAGCTATTTTGCTGACAAAATGCGTGGAGGTGGTAGTTTATTGAAATTACCAAAAAAATTGCTGGTAGGATTTAATTCTTCACTAGCAAAGGTGTCTCCAAGAGGAGTTAAAAATATAACTGAGAGCTGATCTAGGGTAAGTACAAGGTACAGTCAGAATCAACAAGCCTGTCACTTTTTGTCCTGGTAGGTAAACCTTTGACTAAGATTTTCTTCATCTTCTATTGACTTTGCATGCTTTTACACTATGTTGGCTACAATAAATGTTTAAATAAATGCTTTCCATTTAAACATTATTTGTAGTTGACTTGATCCAGGCAGACTCAGTTTTAAAAAGAAAAATGAAAATATAATCTTTTTGGGGGGGAGGGACAGGAGGGAAGTTTCAAAGGGGCTGAGAATTTCTCAAGCAGTTTCTAGCAATTATTGCAAGTTATCTGGAATATAGTAAAAGGGAAAAAAACTATTCAATGAATGTAAGACTGACTGTACAGAGTAGGTTAAAATTTGGCAAAAAAGACATACATAAAATAATCATTTAAAATATCCTAACTTGCACTAATTGCAAACATTACAAGGGTAGATGAATAGACATATAAAAGCATCACGTTTTGTTTTTATTTGAAGAAGAATTTTAATTGCAGGTACGTAATATTATTTTGAGGCTTCGTTTTCATGTATTTCCCCCACATCCTTTTTCACCATTTAGTTGGTTTATTCATTTTTAATTTCTTCACTTTAATAAGCCAAGGTGCATAAGATTATCTGATGTTTTGCTTTTTAAGTTTATATGGGTTTTGGTTTTTTTTTGTTTGGTTGCCCTTTTTATTTATTTTCATTTTTTCTTTTGTTCATGTTTTTTTTTTCAACCACTCCTATCCTTTCACTCAAATCCTCCTCTAACCCACTACTGAAATTAGAGCCATCAGCTCCTCCTCAAGACATTAGTTGCACCAGCCCCAGCTCCACTAGCATTTTGGTAAGTTGGCAACCTCCACCGGTGGAAAAACAGAATGGCATTATCACAGAATATTCAATCAAGTACATTGGGATTGATGGGGAAGATGACAAGCCCCATGAAATTTTGGGAATTGCTTCGGACACTACTCAGTACCTTTTGGAACAGTTGGAAAAATGGACTGAATACCGGATTTCTGTGACTGCCCACACTGATGTCGGACCTGGCCCAGAGAGCTTATCAGTATTGATTCGGACAGATGAAGATGGTATGTTGCCTCCACTACATCCGTTTGCACCTCTATGACTCTCTCTCGATCTGCTGTCTTTGTATAGGCTAACAGTATTCCTTTTTTGTCCCTGCTCCTCTTTTTCCCAAAATCACTGTTACTGTCACCATTTGATTGTTTTAATCAAAGGTCTGCCTTTGCTACGTCAGTTTTGAATTTTTCTTTAAGCACAAAGTGGTTTGTTTGTTTTTTTGAGCAAATTGAAACTGCTACCCCTTCGAATCTACCCAGATTGCTCTTCCTCCCCCTCCTCATCTATTAAAAAAATCACAGATCTCACGGAGGGAATCTTTCTGCATTTTTCTTGACTTTTTTTTTTTTAAGTCTTCTATCTGATGAGCTTATGTCTTTGATTTTTAAAAATGGCCTTCTTGTTCTTTGGTGCATTTAAAAAAAAATCTTTTGGAAAACTGATGCTCTACATATTTTTATTTTAAATATCTAGGTTGTCAAATGTCTTCCAAATCCAAATATAACAGAAGATGTCCCAATTATCAACCACCTTTTTGTTCCACTGCAAAAAACCCAAACCCAACCAAAACAAAAGGGAACTTTTTTTTTGAAATCTTTTGGTTTTTTTTTTATTATTATTATTTCAATTACAAAATATCTCTTTGTACTTTAATGCTTTGAATCTCAAAGCATCTTCCTTGGCTTTTGTACATTTTTACATGTTTTTCTATTTCTCTAATACTCTTTTTTCTTCCATTTTTTGCATCAGTCATGTTTTTTGATCTTTTCACTGAAAGGTAGAGCAGATTGGTTGAGCATTTTCATTTGTTGAACAATTTGTATTCTTCAAAGAAAACGTAGTGGGTCTGCCCTTAAAGAGAGAGAGAGAGAGAGAGAAAGAAAAAGACTCTAAATGGGTGGGACAGGTGCCTGTAATTCTGTTTTATCCAATGATGTTGTTCCAGTTCCTAGTGGTCCTCCTCGCAAAGTCGAGGTAGAGGCTGTCAACTCTACCTCTGTTAAAGTGTCATGGCGCTCGCCTGTACCCAATAAGCAGCATGGTCAGATCCGAGGATACCAGGTTCACTATGTGAGGATGGAAAATGGAGAGCCAAAGGGTCAACCCATGCTGAAGGATGTCATGCTGGCTGATGCACAGGTAACTAGATTATTTTCTATTCTGTTTATAGGCCGCAGTAAAAATGCTGCATTTAGAAAATACATATAAATAACTACCTGTCTTTTCCCCCCTCCACTTTGGCCCACAAGCTGACATGTTTTATTTCCATTTTAATAGGTTCTCCAGAATGGTTACATTTACAGTTTCTTGTGCCAAATTCAGACAGCCTGTGTATGCATACACGAGGGAAAAACCAGCTAAGTTTAGTGCAATTCTTCGTAACCATCTGCAGGCTCCCCTAAACCCACACACTTCATGATCTGCATGTCCTCTGGAAGAGTGCCAAAGGGCATCCAGGCAGATCATAATCAGTGCCTTTTAGCATGTGTTCTGTCTGATCCAGCCACCAGATATTTCACACAGATAACTTATTCCTGGGTGGAATACTCTGTTCAATGTTTTAGCATCAGAACCAGAAGTAGGCAGATTAGAACCCTGCTTTGGCACATTTAGTACTGCCTTGAAAGCATTAGTGTGTACCCATCTCACCACTCTTATCAAACGAGGCCTGAATATTGTGTCATAGTTTTAGAACTCACTCATGTATTTAAATAACACAATACATCATTCAAATCAATAACTATCAAGTAAAATGAGTGTGTTTTAAAAATGTAAGGTTGCTTCTGCTGCAAAATGCAGATGCTGAGAAAGTGGTTTGATCTGTTTTACAAATCATGGCACATGACAGAGAAATCTCTGTTCTGGGGCACGTATTTGATCACATCAAGATCAAAAGAACTTCTAATATTAGGATTCTAATGGTAGGGCTATATTTATGCTTTGTGGACTTGGAGATTACCTGATTTATGCCACTGATGTATACGTCTAAGGGAAAGCTATAAATGTTTGCACACCTCTCACAGCCCGGGCTCGTTTTGTATGTGAATAATGGGAAGTCATCATCAGATATTATCACCTTAATTGAAAATAAACAATTAAATCTTAACCAGTTCTATGTTTCATGTTAGTAAATGATGGCAGCCCCCTCCCCCGCACCCCCAGATTTAATAGATAACTTGCAACTCTCTATATTCGTTGGGGGCGGGGGGGCAGCACTGATCTCTTGTCCCTTCAATTTTGTTGACATGCCTATTTAAATAGTATTGTGCCAGTTCTCAAGAGGTCCATTTTCTTGTTTTACATATTTATGTATTTATTTATTTGGCAAAACATTGTGCTCTCGCAGGTTAAACAGAATGAACCATAAATGCCTGTGGTTTACTACAAATTTGCAATTATGAGTGTGGCCGGGGTCCTAGTGGGGAGCCAGCTGTGGTCACTCAATTAGGGGGGAACTGCAAAGAATGGGGCAGACAATCCCCATAAAGCTGGTGGATAGTCCAATACGTAGATTTACCAAGCCAGCATAAAATAGCTTCTTTATTACCTTACTGGTTACTCAGAAGTCCAAATAACACAGTTCCCTTAAAGTGATCCAGCCTCAGGCCTCCATCCAGGTACCCACGTCAGATATGATGAACATATCTGTAAATCTTATTTCATCATATAAAAGAAAAGGTTCTACCAATCCCAAAGGATCGGACACATTACCTCCCAAGTTAATGAATGTTTCAGATCTTACCCACAAACACGCCACAGCCAATTCTTATTAACTAAACTAAAATTCATTAAAAAACAGAGAGAGTATGGTTAAAAGATCATTATACAGACAGACATGAGTTCAATTCATTGAGGTTCAGATTCATAGCAGAGATGGTGAGCTTTATAGTTGCAAAGAGTTCCTTTAGAATTCAGTTCATAGGTCATAGTCCAATGTCCAAATCTCATATTCCGGGGGTACCAGCATAACTGGGACCTCAGTCTTGCGACTCAAACGTCCCCTGATGAAGTCTGAGCAGATCTGAGATGACAGAATCAGACCCAAGGATCTTTTATACAATTTCATGTCCTCTTTGACAAGTTGGGATTTCCTCGGGGAACAAAAGGTAATTAGAATGACTTTGAAGGAAGTCCATCACCAGTACTTAGCTATACGAATTAACATAAGGCCATTTGCTTGTTCTTCCACAATTCATGGTACATTTCAAAGAGAGATGAATACTGGGATATTCCGTGTTTACAATTCATTTAAATGCTAGGATCTTCTTTTGACCTCTGAATTATCAGAATATAGCATAGACAGGGACTGTTGATTACATTGTCCACCCTACTCATACATATGTAAATACACAAAAACACAAGCATTATCTCCCTACATGTCTTTTGAGGGTTATTTATTTTGCAGGGTGTTTAACCCTTTCTAGCCATGCATCACAATGAGAAAGAAAACAATAAGCCTCTGAGCTTCAATTCTCCCTTTGTCTTGCTCAGATATCTGCTTTCAAGCTCTGTGTGGCCCTAGTTCTGACTCCATTTTAAATTGGAGAAGGTGGAAAGAGAGAAAGTGTGTGTGCAATATTGGCACCAAAACACCATGCATGCCAAAGCCAAACTTGCTCATTTGTAGGTTTCTTTAGAGTTTGGCTCTTAATTGCTAGTTCCCTCATTGGCACATTCTAACCCCCTCTCATTTATTTCCCTGAATGTGTGTTCTCTTGGCATATGCAGTGAAAAACCAAATGATGGTAACAGGGCTTCATTACTTCATTTCAAGTATGTATACACGTTGCAGTTATGAATCTAAATAGGTGCATTGATGTAATTTGGACAGGCTAAATTGAAATGAAAATGAATGTAGCCTTGTAACATATGATTAGAAAAACAGGCAGCCTTTCATTCTATATCAGTGGCTTTCATTAATACAGTCATAAAATATTACTGAGCAATAATAGCATTCAGTACTAGGGAATATGTCGTTCTTTTACCCTTCAAGAAAAGAAAAGTTACAATTTTTGTACCACCCCCGGTAATAAATATGGAATTGAAAATGCCCAGTCTAATGTCATTAACCTGATTTCAAACCTGATTTTGCCAGCCAGTTTTTGGAGATTTTTGGTTTGTTCTTTTTTAATTTATTTTTACTACGAACAACAAAATTGCCTCAACCAGGCTACAAACCTCTCTTCATTTCTTTTGTTTTTCTTTCCACCATTCTTTACTCTCAATCAGTGGGAATATGATGATACTGCCGAACATGTGAGTAGTTGTTGACTGGTCAGACAAAAAGTGTGTGTTGTTTTTTTTTAACCTCTTTCTGTTTTGTAAATGTTTTTGTCATTTGCACAAATGCATGTACTAACATATTATTGAAATTTTCCTCACTTTTTTTTTCTTTGTTCTGTGAGTTTGGCATGGTGCTGAAATGTACAACATTGTTCTGTGGTTTTGTTGGTTTTGATGGCTGTAACTAACTTTGCCTGGCAATGCAACCAAAGAAACTATGCTTTAAAAGAAGGTATTACAGAAAGAAAACCGAAACAGTTTGGATTTGCCTAGTAGTTAGTCACCCTTCAGGTTCAGTGTGTAGTGTGCAGAAGAAGTACAAGTTCATCTTTCTTTTTGTTTGGAATATGTGTCTGTTTTGTACACTTCCCAATCAAACCAAGGAAGGTAAACCTCCCACAGTATTTATGGCCTAAGTAATGTGTTCATTACATTCAAATTGCCTTTTTAAAAGACACTACTGTATGCATTTATTTATCCTTGCATACAGTAGAATACAACGTACTCCAAATGAGGCTAGTGTGTGAATCATTATTTAAAAGAAAACTGTCATTTGTTTTGCTTTTATAGTTTTAAGTTGTCACCATCATTTGTAATTGCCTTTTGAAAGACTGAAAGTGAAATGTCTTTCCTCCTGACTTTGCCATTTGAGTAGAATTCAGTTTGGGGAAGAATTTTCAGATTTGCTCTTTTTTATTGGAAACATTTCACCCATCCCTTCTCATTGTTAACTAGTAATTTTGGTACTGCTAACAAGTGACTGAAAATATAGGGCCAGATTTTAATTTCATCTGTACAGTGTTCCTATCCTCATATTTTGAAAAATCCATTTACCATGGACAGTTGGGCCCATAATTTTGCTGTTAACTTCTATGGTTGTTGCATTTGAAGATTACATGATTGCACATTAGCTATTTATTCTTGAAATTGAAGTGTGCCATTCCTTTAGCCATGCTGAAATTAGTGTAAATCCATTCAGCCACACAGAATTGAGAAGGAGTGCAGGTTAGTGGTTATGACCGAGAACTGGAAGCCGTGATAACTGTGTGACTTTGGATAAATAGACTTCTCTGTTCTTCAGTTTACCCATGAATCAGCAACAGACTAATAATGCTTATCTGCCTGATTGATGTATCAAGACAAAACTTTCTCTTGCTGCCTTTAGAGCAAGAACAAGTCTTTATTTCTGGTGGCCTCCATGTGTATATACATGTGTGAGTGAAAAGGTCTCTTTTGGTTTTTGCATATATTACACCCTATTCTTTGTATTGGTTGAGAATTGATCCCTTCTGTTGCTGGTGTACTTTGCCTAAGAGCTCTGGGGTTTGCTCTAACAATGCTGATTGAGTGGTTCTTTGAGATTTTGAGTAGTTAACAATTTGTAAAGCACTTTGTGATTCCTGGATGAACAGTGCTGTAACAAATACAAGTTGTTGTGAAATCTATGTATGAAGGCAAATAGTGTTTCTGGTGGACTGTACTTAGTGTATTTTGAAATAGCTTTAGAAGTGTGGGTAAAACTGGAGCTCTCTGACTTATTGCTAGTGATTTCATACCTATATCAATAATGGCCAGTAAACTACTAGGTCAAACTTATTTTTCAATTTGCTTTAATTTCACAATAGCAATAAGACTCTCCAGGCAATGCATTTCAGGATGATTATTACACTGGTCACATCATTCGTTCTTTGGCCTAAGCCATATAAAACTACCTGAAGCATGCTACTTAGAAATGCCCTGTCTGTTTTACTTTTAAAAAGTGAAACATACTGCATTACAAAGTGTCACACTCACAAAACATTCTTCTGATACACTCCAACGTGTATCTTCATTACAGGTAGCACAAAAGCATATGCACTTTATGTGATATGTAGCAATTGACTAGATTATTCTGCACTTTCTTAGTAAGGAATGAATTTTTAATGCGTGTTTTTGTTGTTTTATTTCATCTCAGGAAATGATCATTTCTGGACTACAGCCTGAAACGACATACTCCCTCACTGTGACAGCCTACACAACAAAAGGAGATGGAGCACGTAGCAAGCCCAAACTAGTGTCTACCACTGGTGCAGGTAATACTTGGATACCCCTTCATCTCTGAATTGGCTGTCTCTCAACTTGCAGGCTGAGCTTTTCAAAGCAGTCTAGTGGGTTTAGAAACACATCTTCAATAATTTCAGCAGCAGATATAGCCGTATCTCCTAGACTATTTAGGAAAATCTCAACTGTAGTGACTAGATCAGGGGCGGGCAAAGTTTTAGGCCTGAGGGCTGCATCAGGTTTTGGAAATTGTATGGAGGGCTGTTTAGGGGAGGGGGGCGTAGCCTGGTTCCCACCCCCTCTCCGCGCCTCCCCCGCCCCCCGCTTCTCGCCCCCTGACAGCCCACCCCCGGGACCTCTGCCTCTCCCTGTCCCCTGACTGCCCCCTGCCGCCCCATCCAACCCCCCTCCTTCCTGACTGCCTCCCCCAGATCCCTGCCCCATCCAACCACCCCTTTTCCCTGTCCCCCGACTGCCCCCAGAACCCCTGCCCCTGACTGCCCCCCGCCGTCCCATCCAACCC